CGTTTCATGTGAGGTGTGCAGTGAAACCAAGATGAAGGCTGTGAAGTCCTGCCTGCAGTGTCTGACTTCCTACTGTAAGACTCACCTGGAGCCTCATCACAGAGTAACAGGCCTGAAAAGGCATCAGCTGATTGATCCTGTAAAGAACCTTGAAGACAGGATGTGTAAGGAGCATAACAGACCTTTAGAGCTCTTCTGCAAGACTGACCGGATGCCAGTGTGTGAATTTTGCAAGCAGTGCAATCACAAGGGGCATCTCATCATTTCTCTGAAAACAGAATATGAGCAAAAGAAGGCCGAAGTGGAAGCAAGAGAGGGTAAAATCCATCAGATGATCAGAGAAAGACAAAAGAAAATAAGCAACTTCAGAGAAGTGTTAACGTGCAGCAAGGAAGCTGCAGAGAGAGAGAAAACAGCAAGTGAGCAAATATTTGACAGTCTGATCAAGTGTGTAGAAGAAAGTCGGAATCAGCTCGATGGTGTGATCGAAGGGATGCAGAAAACAACAGAGAGCCAGGCTCGAGGCTTCATCAAAGAGCTGGAGGAAGAGGTGTCTGAGCTGAGGATGAACATCTCTGAGCTGCAGCAGCTCTCACACACTGGAGACCACCTCCAGTTTCTCCAGAGTTTACCATCCCTGAACCCTGTTCCACCCACCAAAGACTGGACCGAGGTCACGGTTCACTCGTCATACGAGGGGATTGTGAGGAAAGCTGTCGCTCGGCTGGAGCAGACACTCAGTAAAGAGATGAAGAAGCTGCACGACGATGTGGAGCTGAAGAGGGTTCAGCAGTACGCAGTGGATGTGACTCTGGATCCCGACACAGCACATCCTAACCTCGTCCTGTCCGACGATGGGAAACAAGTATCTGGTTGTAACAAAAGGCAGAATTTCCCCGAGACCCCCAAGAGATGCATTTATTATGCAAATGTTCTGGGAAAGCAGGGGTTTTCCTCAGGAAGATTTTACTATGAAGTTCAGGTCAATGAAAAAACTCAGTGGGATTTGGGAGTTGCCAACGAGTCAATAAACAGGAAAGAGAAAAAGCCTCTGTGCCCCAGGAATGGCTACTGGACCATTCGGCTGAGAAATGGAAATCAGTACAAAGCTGTTGTTGGGCCCTCAGTCCGTCTCAGTCTGAAAGCAGAACCACAGAAAGTGGGGGTGTTTGTGGACTACGAAGAGGGTCTGGTGTCTTTTTATGATGTAGGAGCAGCAGCTCTCATCTACTCCTTTACTGGCTGTAACTTCACAGAGAAACTCTACCCATTATTCAGTCCTTGTTTTGATGAAGGTGGTGCAAACTCCGCCCCTCTGATTATCTCTTCTGTTCTTCCAAAACATTAGACTCAGTATTTATTCCTTCTTAGACAAACTACTGGTCAAAATATGTTTGTATGGCAAAAGAAGTCTATGTGAATGAAATGACTGTGTGTGGTGGGAGTGTTGTGTTTGCTTCAGTGGAGTGGGCAACTTTACATTCTGTGTGCCACCACAGAGCTTGATGAGGCCATTTGTTTTAAAGCTGAACTCTTAAGTTCTGTACTAACTTATTTGTTTTCATATATTTTTGTTCAATAAATTATTAAAATATACAATTTGCTTAT